TTAACCGCATTGCCTTTAAATTTAACCACACACTACTCAGTAACCGCTTTTACATTAAATTTTTCCGCAAATTTTTTTGTGTGTGCTAATGGTCTTTCTCCAACCCTCGATGAATGTGTACTTTTTTTTCCTCTCCATTTGAAGATACGACGAAAAAGCAGCACAAGCTGATTCATTTATGTGGTTTCCAGCTGTACGATGTATACAGTGCCGAGAATTTCATTCTGTTGTGTGCACACGACTGTACTTTTTTATGTTTTCTCCGCATTTTACTATGATTGAACGGCGTGCGCGCATTTATGAACACCATTATGTGCGAACGATGAATGCGTAGATTGAATGAAGAGTGAGTGTAACGAGCATGCGAAGTGTACATATGGACACAATGTATATCCGTGCTATTCTATGCTCGTGCTCAATCGCACTGTGTGTATGTATGTGTGTAAATAAAGAGGGGTTACTGAACTAAAGCCATGTGAACGTTGTACGATGACGTACAACATTTAGGAGGGTTACAATCCAATTAGACACTGCACAGCATATATGCTATTCAATTTCAATATATGCAAGTTGTTGTGCGTGCGACACTTGAACGACGACCGACATGTTTTGAATTTGATTTCCATCGCCTTGGCGTCGGTAATGCGCATATGCCATATTGTGTGTGAATGTGATTCATTTGCGCTGTCGCAGTCGTATTGAAAGGATCGATATCGCTGTCGTTCAGTTACCATGGCCAAAACAATAGAAAATACATTTTTTAAACATTTTCAACGTTGATTCAAAAAAATGTACAGAAATCAATTTATTTTTGTGTGTGAATGAAAAAAGTCCGTCCGTGAAAAACAGTTTTTATAATCTAATTTTTTTTAAATACTTTTTTATTGCAACAGATGGTGAGGAAATAGATGTCTTTGTGCTGAAAAAAATTATTGCAAGTCCATTCGTATTTTATACGAAGCTAAACAAATACCAAAGATTTATTTACAAAGAAAATAAAAATAAACACAAAAGAAAAACGAATCTCAGAAATATTTGAAATAAAGAAAAAAAAATTTAAATAAAATGAATCAAGCAACGTATATTGGAACGGAAACAATCGAAATGATTGAAGACGATCAAATCGATGGCATGACAGATGACGATGATGATGAGGGGCCAAGTAGTCCGGAAAGTGCATACGATGGTGATTTAATGCATGACGATGAAGTGACAGCACAACTAGCAGCCGCTGGTCCAGTTGGAGTTGCTGCTGCGGCCGCCATTGCATCGGCCAAAAAACGAAAACGACCACATTCATTCGAAACAAATCCATCGATTCGTAAGCGTCAACAAAATCGATTACTACGTAAATTACGGGTAAGCGAAATGAAAGAATTTCATTGAGAATTTTTTATGTATTTTTTTTATATATGTGTGTGTCTTACAGCAAACAATTTATGAATTTGCAACGAGAGTTGGTCAACAGGCAGTCGTATTGGTCGCAACACCGGGTAAACCAAACACCAGTTATAAAGTGTTTGGTGCAAAACCGCTTGAAGATGTTGTACGTAATCTCAAGAGTATCGTTATGGAAGAATTGGAATCAGCATTGGCACAACAAGCACCACCGCCCGTTCAAGAAGATCCATCATTGTTTGAATTACCACCGCTTATTATTGACGGTATACCGACGCCCGTTGAAAAAATGACACAGGCACAATTGCGAGCATTCATACCATTGATGCTGAAGTACTCGACCGGGCGCGGTAAACCTGGATGGGGAAGAGAATCAACACGACCGCCATGGTGGCCAAAGGAATTACCATGGGCCAATGTTCGCATGGATGCACGCACAGAAGATGAAAAACAAAAGGTACACCAGTCGTTGATACTTAAAAAAAACACAGAGACTAAATTTTTCATTCAATTACACAGATAAGCTGGACACATGCATTACGCAAAATAGTCATCAATTGTTATAAGTTCCATGGACGTGAAGATCTGCTACCAGCGTTTTCGGAAGAAGATGAAAAAGCCAATCAACTTGCCACATTAAATTCATCAGTCGCTAGCTCACATGTAAGTTTTTATGGAACACACGCACATCAAAGTTTTCTTCTTTGCGCCAAATCTCAAGTTATTGCATCCTGCCTTTATTCAAATAAAGTTTAACGAAACAAATTTGAAAATCTATATCGAATATTTAAAAAAAAAAACTTATAGGTTGGAGTATTGAAGGTGCACAATTCAGGTGTTACGACATCATCTGCGAACAATGTTAGCAACACAATTACCAAACAAATTCATATACAAACACAACCGACCACGCAAACCATTACCAATGCACAGATTATCGATTCAATGTCAATCAGCGATGTAGATGTTCGTATTTTCATTCTTTGTCGCCAAATTAACCGAATTTTTTTCAAACTTGATTTTGGTTCATTTTTGGTTGTTGTTGTTGTGTGTTTACTGTTATTTTTAATTTATTTCTGTTCTGCCTTTTCTCCCCATTTCTTTATGATTTTGCTGAATTTTTTCCCTTCGTTGCATTTTTTACTTTGGTTTTACCTCAAAAACATCTAATCCATTTTAAGAAATTTAATGCAAATTTACATCCATTTTTATTTTTACTAAGTTATTTTTTTTAATCTGTTTTTTTACTGATTTCGATTTTGATTTTTGGAAATAAATTTTAATTGATTTGTTCGATTTGTTCATTTACAGTACACACAAGGGTTGTTACATTCCATTCAAAATGCCGATGGAACAGTTTCGATCATACAGGTTGACCCAAGCAATCAAATCATCACACTTCCTGATGGAACTACAGCACAGGTTCAAGGAATTGCAACGGTAAGACTCACATAACCATTTTTTTGAAATTCAGAATAATAAAAAAACTTCAATTTTTTGTGTAAAACAGTTGAGTCAAGGCGATGGTGGAACCGTACAAACAGTACAAAGCATTGATACAAGTCATGAAAATATGACGGTTGATTTGACAGAGGCCACACTTGGACAAGACGGTCAAATCATTATCACAGGCGAAGATGGCCAAGGTAGGTCCTACTCCACTTTCATACAAATGACAAATGACAAACAGTAATCATGAACAGAGAGAGAGAGAGAGAGAGAGAGAGAGAGCGTTTCTTGTTCGACTCAAATTTTGTAAAATGCTAATTTAATTCGTTTTGTATACATTAGGTTATCCGGTGTCCGTCAGTGGAATGATTACTCTTCCGGTATCATCGTCAGTGTATCAGTCAATGGTTGCCAACATACAGCAAATTCATACCAATGGAGATGGAACGTTATGCATAACACCGATGCAGGTACAAAAATCCGGTCACCAACATTTAATAAATCATATAAACAGCACAAGTATTGGTGGTAGCCTGATCGGTAGTGCCAATAATTGTAGTGTTTCGCCATGCATTAGTAGTGTGAACAGTAGTAGTTTTAGTAATATCAATAGTGGCGGCAACACATCAATACTTGCAAATTGCCAGCCAAATTCGGGCAATCCATTCGTTAACAACACATCGGAACTATCATCGAACATGAATTGTAACAATCCAAATAATACAATGAACAATACCAATAATAATTTGCTTGAATTGTGCCGTGTCTTAAGTCAAACGACAAACAATGTAAACAATTGCCATAGCACAGTTCCATTCAATAATAATCTCTCGGCGAATTTCGCCAATAGCACCGATCGAAAATCAATGAAAACCAATAAAAAATTGATTAATCGAAATCAATATCAAAACACAACACCGACGACAGCAACAACAACAACGACAAGTTTTGATACGTCAATGTCTTCGTTTTCCACCGAAACAAATGGCAATAATTTTATCGAACAAAATATTGACTTAAAAAGTGACACCAACAATAATAATCACAATAACGAAAACAATGGTAATGACAACCATGATCTCAAATGTGCACAAATATTGGTGTCGACCGTCATCGATGATTCAACAAAATTAATCAAATTAAATAATGAAAGTGTCGGTGAAAATGACACCCCATCCATTAAAATGGAATGCGAAATTGATGTTGCATAAATCCAAAGAATTTCATTCACAGTCAGCCTAGAAACTAGCTTAGTATAACGAACGTTTTTATTTAGAACATCTCGCTCATGTGTATCGAATTCAAATGGACTTGGAAATGGTCAAACCTTTGAAAAGTTTGTTTGGATTCAATATATATGCATAAATGCATTTAGAAATGCACATAAATCAAAAAAAGAAAATTGCTTTAAGCCAAAAATCAGAATTAAATCCGAAGGATTTGCCATCAACGAAACAATTTGCCAAAAAAAAAACATTTTTATTCAAATAAGCTTGAATTTTTATTATTTGTAGTGACATAATTTGAATTTCATTTAATTTGTGCTATTTTTCACTTAATTTAATGTATTAAGTTCAAACTTTATTTATTTTTGATGATTTAATATTACTAGTTTTTTGAGATAAGCCATATTATGGTTTTTTCTAGTCATTTTGTGTGATTTGTAACAATCCACTTTACTACTTTCTAAATCGATTGAATTATTTTAAGTTAAACTACTGGTTCCCAGCTGGTGTGCCACTGTGCCAAGTTATCTAAAATGGTCTGCGGGCATATCATAGTCCAAATGATTCAAAAATTAAAATTTAACGAAAAAGTTCGGGAACCTTATTTTTGTTTCGGTTCCCTTCAAATATAACTGTTGCATCAAAGCGTAATTATGCTATTTTTGTGCAGAAAACCGGTTGTCAAAAGTTTGCCATTGAAAACGAAATCAAACTAACTCAAATGAAGTAAAAAAAAATTCGAATTTATGTGAATTTTAACAAACGGCTCGCTCGCCAACTTATATCTTTTTCTTCCGTTTATTAAATGTATCGATATGATTGTGTTATATACACTTTTGACATATCAGATATGCTTTAAGAAACAACTACAGTAAAACATGTCAATAACGGAATCCCACGGGGAATTTTTTTTCCACTATTGACCAGAATTCCACTTTTCCCAGGTTCCATTAATAACAGGTTTTCATGCCAATTCAGAAATGATTTTCCATTATTGAGAGTAAATTTGAAAAAAAGCAGAAATTCATATATTTTTATCATTATATTGGAAGTATAAATATATAATGTCGCATTTTTTTCAAAATTTGAACGTTTATTGAGAAAAAGGTTGTACAATGTGTTATTCAAAGTATTGCCCATCACTAGCCACTACTTTTTCCCATCTTTCTGGTAGCATACGGATTCCGTGTCGGAAGAACTGTTCATCTTTTGATGCGATGAATGAATCGACCCAATTTTTGACTTCTTCAGAAGAAGTAAATCGTGTATCAGCCAGGTTGTCCTGCATCGATCGAAACAAGTGATAATCAGAAGGAGCAATGTCTGGGCTATACGGCGGGTGGGGTAGCACATCCCATCGAAGTGTTTCCAAGTATGTCTTCACGACATTTGCAACATGTGGCCGAGCATTGTCATGTTGAAGAATAACTTTGTCGTGTCTTTGCTCATATTCTGGCCGTTTTTCGCGCAATACTCGGCTCAAACGCTTCAATTGTAATCGGTAGCGTGGCCCATCAATGGTTTCATTCGGTTTCAGCAGCTCATAGTACACCACACCTCGTTGATCCCACCAAATACACAGCATTACCTTAAATCCGTGGATATCTTGCTTTGATGTCGATGGTGCTGGTTGGCCGCGCTTTACATATGCTTTTTTTTGCTTTGGGTTCCCGAGTGAAAAATGGCATTGAATTTTTCAATGCGTAGTGTCAAACGGCATTTAAGCAATAAATCGACACCGCATGGCTATAGCGATGTGGTGTATGCACTCAACGTGCGCACGGACCATGCGGTCTCGATTTATTGCTTAAATGCAATTTGACACTACGCATTGAAAAATTCAATGCCATTTTTCACTCGGGTTATCGTAGTGAATCCACTTTTCATCACCAGTGACAATACGATGCAAAAATCTCTTTCTTTTCTGTCTTTGAAGCAGCTGTTCGCAGGTGAAATATCGTCTTTCCACGTCTCTTGGCTTCAGTTCATGTGGTACCCAATTTCCATGCTTTTGAATGAATCCTGCTGCTTTCAAACGTTGTGAAATGGCTGCTTGAGTGACTCCCAATGATTTTGCAAGCTCTTCTTGAGTTTGACACGGATCTTCATCGAGTAATGCCTCCAATTCTTCATCTTGGAACTTTTTTTCTCTTCCGGCACGCTCCTTGTCTTCGACATTAAAATCACCATTTCTGAAGCGTGCAAACCAACGCTGACACATTCTTAAGTCTATAGCATAGTCAGGATAAGCTTCAGTGAGTGCTTCAGATGCGTTTTTCTTCAAATGGAAAAAGTAAATTAACACTTCCCGCAAATGATCTTTTGATACCACGAATGTCGACATTTTCACCGTAATAAAAAAAATTTGTGTGTAAACTTGTGTTCATTGTGACAGATGGTTTTTAATAGATTTTTTGACGCTCTTTAAGATACAATAGCTGTCAATGTCAAAACAATGGTACATATAATTGATGTGAAGTTAGATACGAATGCGACATTATATATTTATACTTCCAATACTAGATAGCAAAAATTTTCAGGGGATGATTTTAGAAGAAAATCCTAGAAATCAAAAGAATTTTTCGCATGGGAAATCTTAGCAAAAAGGGTATTCCAATCGGAAAAAATTGTCTTCCAAAAAAACAGCTCTAAAATCCCTAGCAAATCGAAAGAATTTCTCTCGCGTTCCAAAAACCCTAGTAAATCAAAAGAATTTTTTCCACTATTGGGGGTGAGTGTTTTTTACAATTTTCCACTATTACCAGGTCATTTTGTATGGGAGAGCTCAACGGCGGAATTTTTTTTCCACTATTGACAAGAATTCCACTATTCCCATGTTCCATTATTGACAGGTTTTCCTGTAATATCTCTTCGACACTTTTCGATCGAACCCAACAATTTTTTTTTCAACACTATCTACCCGAACTCCAGTTTCTGAATATGCCATTTTTCGAAAAAATTTACCTTTTTTTTTGAAACGCCACCTAGCGTTAAATTTTAGGTAAAATTTTGATTTTTTTTATTTTTTTTTTTGCGGATTCTTAATTTGGTGCCCGAGCACTACTAAATATGCAAAAACCCTTTCCAAAAGTCAGCGGTATCGATTTTCATTTCTTTACAGTATATATAGAGTGACGCAAATATACATATATTTCATACTAGGGGCTTAATACGGCAAAAAAATTCACAGAAATTCACGTAAATTCACACTTTTGAATCGAGTGGTTATTGATGAATTCGGTGAATTCGTGTGAATAGAATGAAATGTGTCAAATTAATAAAGTGAGGTTATGATAGCCGCAATATTTTTTAATTTATTATTTTTTCAATATTTCCGATTGTTTTCGATAGAAAATCGCTCAAAATTGAAAATAAAATTAATATTTATTAGAAAAATATAAAAAACCTTTACAATTTTGTTACACAAATTATAAATATTGCAGTGATTGCCAGCAGAAATTATTCACCACTATCTCACATATTTGAATGAAATCGCCATAGAATTCACAGGAATTCATTCGTTTGCAGAAAAATTCAGTTAATTTAGATATTATTATAGAATTCAGTCGTTGAAAATTTTGAACTAAGCCCCTAGATTTCATATGTATGTTGGTATTGCGTCACTTGGGGGACTGCCGTCCCCCGTGATTTATTAACAACTTATTAGAAGCAAATGTAATAGTAATAGTAAGACATAGTGTGATATTGATCTCAACTTATTCAGAGTCGTCGTTGGATAGGTCGATTTGTCGTTCGGAACTTTTGGAAGAGGATATTCGAACGAACATTTAAGTTGTTCGTTCGTTCGAATGCATTTGAGCAGTCGAACTGTTCGTATTCAGACATATTCGAACGTTCGAAAAGATGTTAGTTCGATTTGGTCGTTTGTTCGTTCGAAGATGGACCACGAACAGCTTCATTGGCATCATACTACAAATCAGTTAATTCGCCCTTTAATTTGATCACTTTTTCTGCATGTTCTTTCACAATTGCTTTTGTTTCTTTCATTCGTCGTTCAGAAGATTCAACTATATCTCGTTGTTTTCTGATTTGAACTTGGAGATTGTCCAATGAATCGCGATTGGACAAATTTACATAAATTTATAAAAAATTAACAAATGAATATAACGAAAACGAGTGGAAAAGTCAAACATACAATGCTGACATTCGAGTATCACTTACAGCCGGCTTTCAACGCGACTCGATTTAAGAAGTGCCATCTCTTTCACGCCAGGTTCTCATATATTTTTTTCTTGCAAATATTTTTTTCTTGCAAAATTGTATAAATTGAATAAGTTTTGCAATAATAATAACGAAAATAATTAATAGAATTTATAATAAATAAAAAAATTGAAAAAAAACACACAAATATTTTATATTATATGATATGTAGCTTTGCCTTGTAGACTTTGCCTTGTAGACCATGTAGAGATGGTTACGTGGAGAAAATATGTATTTGTCAAACATTGATATCTGTCAAAAGAAACAACGTAAACAACACGAAGTGAAGCTATTCTGGTGATTCATATAATATAAAATATTTGTGTGTTTTTTCAATTTTTTTTATTTATTATAAATTCTATTAAATATTTTCGTTATTATTATTGCAAAACTTATTCAATTTATACAATTTTGCAAGAAAAAAATATTTGCAAGAAAAAAATATTTGCAAGAAAAAAATATTTGCAAGAAAAAAATATATGAGAACATGGCGTGAAAGAGATGGCGCTTCTTAAATCGAGTCGCGTTGAAAGCCGACTGTAAGTGATACTCGAATGTCAGCATTGTATGTTTGACTTTTCCACTCGTTTTCGTTATATTCATTTCTTAATTTTTTATAAATTTATGTAAATATTTATTATGTAAATATGTCCAGTCGAACTGTTCGTATTCAGACATATTCGAACGTTCGAAAAGATGTTCGTTCGAGTTGTTCGTTTGTTCGTTCGAAGATGGATTCGAACAAACAAACGAACTGAAATCCACTTTTCATATGATCGTTTGAGTTCGTTGCCACCTTTAGTCGTTCCAATTGTTCTATTTCGTCAAGTTCTTCCGCTTCAAATGCAACCTCCAGTTCCGCGAAAGTTTTCATTGGTACAACGGGTGGATCT